TAATAAATACTCAAAATAATTTTTTACTATAAATCTCTTCGCTAATCTACAATCTTTTTTTTTTTTTAAAAAAGAAAAGAAAAGAAAAGAAAATTCATGAATCAACTTAGCTCGGCTCGACAAAGGTCTGAGCCAAAGCCCTGGCCAAGCCCCATTTTTGGGAACCGAGCTGGCTCGACTCTGCTCAACTCATTGTCATCACTAATTTCACATTTGTAATTTTAATTTTATCCTAATTTGTCTTATAAATAGGGAGCTATCTTTAAAATTTTGTATTACCATAAAAAAGGAGAAAGATGTTAGAGAAAATAAAGGGTGTGATTTTCTCTTATAAATTTCTTTCATAATAATAAATTATTGTAGTGACCTAAGAGAGCGTAGTTTTGTATTGAGACAACTTTTATATATCTTGCGTGTTCTTGTGTATACTTTTTTCTAGTATTTATTGCACTTGGTAGTAGTATTGAAGTTTCTAATTCTCAACAATTTTATCATTAACATGCCCCAAGAGATGGTAATTTTTTTGAGCATGCCTGTATTGTAGTTCAATTGTTCGTTTGAACTTTGAATTGACTGTAATACCTATTAATAATGTCAAATTGTTTGTTTGAATTTTATGGACTTTGACTACCACATTAAGATTTGAGATTTAATCTTAAAAGGTCGAACTTATTAAGAGGAGTAACACTATCCCTCTCCTAACGAGGCTTCAAGCATCGATCAGGTAATAGCCGCTAGCAAGTCCAATCAGGCTCACGTTTGGCACCATTATCGTACCTAACCTACTCAAGGCTATATAATGAGGTAGTCGACTTAATGCATCATCTTGTCTGAGGTGCCATGTATAGACCGACCCTTCATAACCTAGACGAGGTGATATAACCAGTTACAGAGTAAATTCGAGGCAATTAACCTCTCGATGAGATTAGACATCTCCCACTTCACCTATTCCACGATATTTCATAGAAGATCTTCCTATGATTGATTATTATGACATTTCTACAACACGTCTCCTAATCACTTTGTTAGTCTACTTTACATAGTCGAACTTAGGCTATAGGGTTGCTACATTTTAGAAACATTGAACTCCCTTGAACCTAATATTGACAGGGTGACACTTTAAGAGAATATGCCTAAGTAATTGGGATGAAGCCTCAACCTTTTCATCCAAAGGTAACCGTTCTTCCTCTTCTACTATTAAAACTCACGCTTATTGTCATTTGAAGTAATTCAATTTTACACACTCAAATAATATTGCTATCTCTCACATTTGTTCTCTGGCTCACGTCTCTTGCACATCTCAAACCTAAATATATTGCATAACTTGATTATTTGATTACTTGCAATTGTCTTCCCCACTCTGAAGAAGGCTAAATGCTCGTGATGATTTATCCTAGTGTACAGAAGATAAGCTACGTGGATGTAAAGTAGAGACTAAATCCTGTCCACATAATTCGTATAGAAACAGAGGTCACCAGGTATTTCAAACCTAGATATATTGTTTATTTTGTTTCATCTTTAATCAATGTGAAATATTATCTTTAACCAATCCAACTTTTCGTTGTTGTGAATAACACTGGCATTTGTCAAATCAGAAGTTGCTTACATTTCTCTCATCTCTAGCCACTATGCACTACCTAAGACCCAACACAACTCCTGGCACACAATGTGCCAACGAAGAACCATTTCTTTTCCCTCTCCATCCATTAAGTTTTGGGTATCCATGATTAAGATTGATATGCAAACTAAATACCATGGAATAAATAATTTTAGAAAGGGATAGAAACGGTTTGTCTTTTGTAATGTTGTCAAATATCCACAGGCACAATCGGATTTTCCTCAATCGACAAATCTTGATGTGGTGTCGTGATGTCAAACTACCCAATTTTAACCTATGTTGGTCTTGGGGTCAAAAGTTGTGAATGTCGGTATCTTCTTTCTCGTTTTCAAACGTTAATGGAAAAAAGAAAGAAAAGAAGCAACAAAGAAATGTATTGAAGATTAGAAAAATGAAATTCAACGTAAAAATGATGAATGTCTACTGTGAAATTGTGGAGTTTAATTATTGTTACTTTTCGGACGTCTATAAATCTTGGGTGTTTTATTTATTTATTTATTTTTATTCAAATTGATTGCTTTCGGTGGAATATTAGATTTTATCATTTTTAACATCTATAGATCAAACTCTTGACTATATCGAGTTTAATCATTGTTATGATTGTTCACACGTTGATGAACAATTAATATTAATTACCATTACTTTGTAATAAATAAATACTCCATTCATTATAAATTTTTATTCTTTTATATAAATAAATAAATAACCTGATATTTACGTTATCAATCTATGGTCATAAAAAGAGTTGAAATATGATTTTAATTATTAAATATCTCTCCACAAAATTGCGTCCTGTAATGTCGGCATGCTAGAAAATTTACAAAAACATGATGTCATGAGGACATCATCAATTAGGACTGCCTCAATTATTCGTCGTCGTAATTTTTTTTTATTTTTATTTTTTTTAACTCATGGTTATTAGATTGGTTCGGGCATCAATCCGATCAACTCATGAGTCACCGAGTTTTTTTTATTCATTGTGGAGGTCAAGAGTTCGATTCTAGACTGCACAACACGTTTATTTTGAGAAAAAAAATCAATCAACTAGGTCAAGTGATTTGATCGAATTCAGACTGGCTCTTGTTCAGTTCAACTGCATAATCGGCATGGTCGAATTTTCAAAATATGTTATAAGATAAATTAATTATAATATAAATGATGGTTTAAGTTCAAATGAATTATGCATGTTGAAAGAAATTTGTGGACGATCTGTTGTCCTCCATTTAGTTGTTATGAGATTATTATTCATTAATTAAAAATGTTCGAAGTTAATAGCTAATTTTGACATACTCTTTCAATATATTTTACACGTAACTATAAATTTGGATTGTAAAGCGTGGAATTTGAGCTGATGATCATGCCCAATTTATGATGTTGATATGTCACGTTCATCATCTTGTTTAATGGATGTTCAAAGATGTACTAGCCCTTGTTTGGTGTGGATTAAAATCAGATTTTTAACAAATTTTGATAAAAATTGATGAAATATGTAGTTGGAAAGTTGTGAGACCCATAAAATATGTGATTGAAATGAATTATTGACATTAACTTAAATCAAAATTAAAATTTTAACTGGTACCAAACAGGAGACTAATAAATTTCTTAATTGTATCTATCAATGTTACCATACCACAACTAGAAACGTCATGTTAAAACCACATTTTTGGCATGTTCGGTAGTGATTATGAGATTATATTTTTTGACCGTTAGATGGAAAAGTGGATTTTACTTGTGAGTGAAGAAGTCAAAAGTGATTGCTAACTTAGGAAAGTAAAGATCAAAAAATTGATTTTTTGAGGATGAAAAATCATAACCAAATGGGAGTTTTTTGTGTAAAACAAAATGTGTGTATAGAAGCATAGAAGGAAAGATATTCGTATTAAACAAGAAACTAATGATGTCATGAAATAATTATATATTGCCTATCATAATGAGGACACTTGTCATCACTGCAGTCATTATCATATCCATATCAAAATGTGGAAAACCCTTTCAAGCTTTCGAGAGTCATCCACAAGAACATAAATAAGAGGATATAAACGTTTTAAAGCTATTGATATTTCTTGTGTTTAGGCTGCATCATTGATCTTTCCTTTTCACTGCTAAGCACAAACAGTTCGCTTAAAGTAAAATTTTAAATAATTGCCAATTTTATGGTTAGAATTGGGAGAGCATGTTTGAATATGCTTAAGTAAAATTCTGTGATAGAATACCTACTGTCCTTTAAGTTGTAGTAGGAATAAGGTGGAGTTGTTATAGAGGATCCACATTGTCCTCCGAAATGAGTGTTTATGATATTTTAGGTTTGATTATACACAAGGGGGCTTGAGAATGATGAAATTCATAAGCTTAAAGCCGGTTAGATAAAATGAACCAGTTTTTGGGATTCTAAAAATTGGAAGATATAGGGATTCTATGTGATAAGAAGACACTTGTAATGTTAGAAGGAAAGTTTTACACATTTAAATTTTCCCCACTCTACTTTTTGGCAATGATTATTGGATCGTTTTTTAACAAAAAAGATAGATTTAGCATAAGTGAGGATCTTAAGATGCATGTGTGGCTATTTTAGAAATTGAAGAATATTAGGGATGAGAATATATGCTGACAAGTGGAGTCATCACCATGGATAAATTGAAAGATGGATAGCTTTGGTCATCCGTTATATTATGCATAAACTTAAAAGAGTTCACATTCACAAAAGTGATGTGATCCCTATGGTACATTTTATTAGAGTGGAGGTACTCCAATATTAACATGGCATGATGAGGTTGCAAATGATTTCATCACACTACATCTTCTTAGATGTAGCGATGATTCGAATGGATTATTGAAGAAGTATATTATATATTTGTGTGTAAGTAAACCACTAAAGTTAGTCTTTTTTGTTATTAGGGTTACAAAAGGCTCCATTTGGTAGTGGAAAACTTTCTGTAGAAAGCAATACATGGGAAAACAGATAAAAGTAGACCTTAGGAAAAGCAAATCAGATATATAACTACCTGCATTGAATTAATATACTGGAAAATATGCTCTTGAGCAAGCATAGTTTTGCACCGAAAATTTCCTTCATTAGTTGTGGCATGTTACGATTTTCTTGTGACAACCAAATGCTTTAGAAAGAGATAATCAGGAGTTGGAAGTTACTTTCACAATTCCTTTCCCACTATTTTCTGGTTACATGCCACCCAAATGATTCTTATTCACAAGACCCTTTGGTCGGTGAAGTCCATATTTCATATATAAATATAATTAATCATTTTAGGCATTTATTAAAGCTTCATTTGAATATAATGCTGATTGCTGTGCATTCCTCCTTTGTACTTGACAAATTGACCGCCATCCTAATTTTGAAGGCTCGTGGTGTTTATTTATGGTTCAGAATGATGGAGAACTCGTTGACTTCTCATACTGGAAATGCATAAAGGGTTTGATCCATAAAAATTATCCTCTGTTTGCAGACAGCTTCATACTCAGGCATTATCGGATACCATAATTGAAGGTAAACATTTGAATTGAGCTCACCAATGTTTATCTTCCTCAAAAATTTCCTATGTGGCTTTAGGCTTAGGGTATCACTCATTTGTGCTGAAGCTCAATGTATTAGCTAGAGGTGATGTTCAGAACTTTTGTTCTTTATTTGTTTGGAAACTGGAACAATCTTCTCTTAACAATATTTAAGTTGGTTTCTGATTGAATGAAAAAACTTGGATATAGTTTCTCGTTTCTCGATCATTAGCTTTCAGATAAAGCTTTCCCTTCGAACTCAATGGCATTTTTCTTTTATCTTTTTGCCCTTTTTCGCATCATTATTTCATTTGTTTGTGTGTAGAAAACAATACCAGTTACTGTTCTTCATTATCTAGTGGTGATTTAATATTCTATGCATCGTACACATCAACAAAATTAACTGATAGCTGCTCTATTTTCCCCAGTCTACTGGTGTAGTAACTTGAAAACAAGAATCCATAATAACACTTAATTGAAGATTAAGAAATGTTATAATTGGAAGAGATAGCAGATATTCTTCAAGTTTACCGTGTCGGGAGCTCACGTTGATGCTAAACTCTGCTCAAGTCACTATGGAAGCTCTCTCTCCATTACATTTTGAGATAAACTCCAAAGTCGTACCGGGGAGCTCGATCTCCAACTTCACTTCGTTCACTCCACTATAGGAGCTATGTTTAGTCACCAACATATTTAAATATGTGAATTTGAATACCTGCGTGATTAGAAATACCAATGTGGATGTAAATATAAAACACGATTTCAACTGAATTGGAGAGAAATGTTAAGTTGTACAATTTTCTTGTCTTCTAACATGAAGTCATGGGAAATTGATCTACGTAGATGATTTTAATCAGTTGAGATTTAAATTCCAATTTAAGTAAATTGAGGAGCTAAATCTTTACTTTTAAAATTTCAGAACCCATAACCAACTTCCCATTCTTAAATTAGAAAAGAATTCCTTTTTAGGTTGAAAGTTGAGACAAGCCTGCAGATGCAATTAGAAAAGAATTCCTTTTTAGGTCGAAAGTTTTAGAATATGTTTTAAGCCTCAATTTTTGTTGAAAATAGTTTTGTAACAATTAATTTTTGGAGAATGTATGATTAAGTCCCTGTTTGAGCCTCCCCCCGGGCCCTCTCTCCCCCGAAAAGAGTGAATTTTTAATTGTAATTTTTTTTGGATAATGTGTTGTTAAAAAGTAGAAAAAAATTTTGAATTTACATAAATAATATTTTATTTTAAGAATTTATGGTTGAAAATGAGTATGAGAAAAAAGAGTTTTGAAAGAATGATTACTAAATAGGGGAAAAAGTTTTGATTAACGCACAAAATATATTATTGGAAGAATGTACGCTTGAATATATATATATATATATATATATATAAGAACTTTTAAATAATAAGATTTATAAAGAAGCTTAACTTTATTAATTGAGCTGTTTGGCCGCTGTCCCGGGGGTGCCACATGGTCGCCCTGTTGTTTGGCAGGGATTTAGAGAAATGCTATAGAGATAGGTTGAAAAATAGGGTTAAAAATATGCTGCACACCTGTCGATACTTGATTGGAAAGTTTAAAAAAAAAATTTGAATTTGCTGTCACATCAGTATGTTTTTATCCCAGTTTTTGAGTCTGACTGTTTATCATTTTTTGGGGATTTAAGCTTGGCCAAACATTTTATTCTGTTGAGAAAGAGGTACGTGTCCTCGCACAAAACCTTCTCAATCGGATAATTTTGTCCTGCAATAGGGGATTCTTGAAAGCTATGCACATCGATACGTGTCATCTTAGAACCACACTATAAAACAATAATTGATAATTATTTATTCATTTATGGATTATGATGAATAAGTCTGGTAGGAGTATGCACGTGCTTACACTTGGTAGTTAGTTGACCAACAAAAGGTCACACTTATTATTAAATTCCAAACAACTATAATAATGGGTAACAATAGTCAATTATGGGAGATGAATGATTATTGTGAGATTGACTTAGAAAGTGGCAAAAGGATAAAGGTATCACCGACACAAATGAATCCTAGGTTTGATTGATGTCTAGCTTATGCTAGAATTCGCACTTTCGGCCTCTAGAGGGAAAAATAAAGAGGTCAAAGAAAGTTTTTAAGGATTTCATCTTAGAAAAAAATAAAAATAAAAAGTTCAGAGAAAGTTTAAGAATTTCATCTTAAAAGATCGATCTTATTTAAAGTAGTCTAAGTTCTTATACATTGATTAGTGTTTGCATCTTTGTTTAATATGAGATTTTTTTTTAAGTCCCGAAATCTAATTATTATCGTTGTATGAAATTAGTACGTAGACCGATCTCTGTGTTGAGGTCATCGTAGATGTAGGAAGATGGACATGAAGTTTTTCTAAGCGTGAGGGGGAAGTCCTAGGACCAAAATTTCTTGAAGGACAATTTAGAAAATTTCATATTGGTAATTTTGATTTTTTTGCCGTCGGACATAAATTTCATTAAGGATAGTATTTCACATAGTGGTGGCAAACAAGTCCATCGACTTGGACAGTATGTGGGTTGACTCGAAGCTCATTTGCACAAGCCAAAGCTCGAGCCAAGTAAAAACAGGGTAGTTATTTTTAAAACAAGCTATTGGCAAGTTTTAACTAGCCTGCAAAATGAGAAAAAAATGTCTGCCAAACCTTGGTGATGGGATCCCATCAGGCCATCACCAAATTTCAACCCTACAATTTATTTATTTATTTATTATTATTATTATTATTATTATTATTATTATTATTATTATTATTATTATTATTATTATATTTCAACCTTACAATTTATTATTATTACTTTAATAAATACTCAAAATAATTTTTTACTATAAATCTCTTCGCTAATCTACAATCTATTTTTTTTTTTTAAAAGAAAAGAAAAGAAAAGAAAATTCATGAGTCAACTTAGCTCGGCTCGACAAAGGTCTGAGCCAAAGCCCTGGCCAAGCCCCATTTTTGGGAACCGAGCTGGCTCGACTCTGCTCAACTCATTGTCATCACTAATTTCACACTTGTAATTTCAGTTTTACCCTAATTTCTCTTATAAATAGGGAGCTATCATTAAAATTTTGTATTACCATAAAAAAGGAGAAAGATGTTAGAGAAAATAAAGGGTGTGATTTTCTCTTATAAATTTCTTTCATAATAATAAATTATTGCAGTGACCTAAGAGAACGTAGTTTTGTATTGAGACAACTTTTATATATTTTGCGTGTTCTTGTGTATACTTTTTTTCTAATATTTATTGCTCTTGGTGGTTGTATTGAAGTTTCTAATTCTCAACAATTTTATCATTAACATGCCCCAAGAGACGGTAATTTTTTTGAGCATGCCTATATTGTAGTTCAATTGTTCGTTTGAACTTTGAATTGACTGTAATACCTATTAATAATGTCAAATTGTTTGTTTGAATTTTATGGACTTTGACTACCGCATTAAGATTTGAGATTTAATCTTAAAAGGTCGAACTTATTAAGAGGAGTAACATTATCCCTCTCCGGACGAGGCTTCAAGCATCGATCAGGTAATAGCCGCTAGCAAGTCCAATCATGCTCACGTTTGGCACCATTATCGTACCTAACCTACTCAAGGCTATATAATGAGGTAGTCGAATTAATGCATCATCTTGTCAGAGGTGCCATGTATAGACCGACCCTTCATAACCTAGACGAGGTGATATAACCAGTTACAGAGTAAATTCGAGGCAATTAACCTCTCGATGAGATTAGAAATCTCCGACTTCACCTATTCCATAATCTTTCATAGAAGATCTTCCTATGATTGATTGTTATGACATTTCTACAACATGTCTCATAATCACTTTGTTAGTCTACTTTACATAGTCAAACTTAGGCTATAGGGTTGCTACATTTTAGAAACATTGAACTCCCTTGAACCTAAAATTGACAGAGTGACACTTTAAGAGAATATGCCTAAGTAATTGGGATGAAGCCTCAACCTTTTCATCCAAAGGTAACCAGTCTTCCTCTTCTACTATTAAAACTCACGCTTATTGTCATTTGTAGTAATTCAATTTTACACACTCAAATAATATTGCTCTCTCTCACATTTGTTCTCTGGCTCACGTCTCTCGCACATCTCAAACCTAAATATATTACATAACTTGATTATTTGATTACTTGCAATTGTCTTCCCCACCCTGAAGAAGGCTAAATGCTCGTAATGATTTATCCTAGTGTACAGAAGATAAGCTACGTGGATGTAAAGTAGAGACTAAATCGTGTCCACATCATTCGTATAGAAACAGAGGTCACCAGGTATTTCGAACCTTGATATATTGTTTATTTGTTTCATCTTTAATCAATGTAAAATATTATCTTTAACCAATCCAACTTTTCGTTGTTGTGAATAACACTGGCATTTGTCAAATCAGAAGTTGCTTACATTTCTCTCATCTCTAGCCACTATGCACTACCTAAGAACCACCACAACTCCTGGTACACAATGTGCCAACGAAGAACCATTTCTTTTCCCTCTCCATCCATTAAGTTTTGGGTATCCATGATTAAGATTGATATGCAAACTAAATACCATGGAATAAATAATTTTAGAAAGGGATAGAAGCGGTTTGTCTTTTGTAATGTTGTCAAATATCCACAGGCACAATCGGATTTTCCTCAATCGACAAATCTTGATGTGGTGTCGTGATGTGAAACTACCCAATTTTAACCTCCGTTGGTCTTGGGGTCAAAAGTTGTGAATGTCGGTACCTTCTTTCTCATTTTCAAACGTTAATGGAAAAAAGAAAGAAAAGAAGCAACAAAGAAATGTATTGAAGATTAGAAAAATGAAATTCAACGTAAAAATGATGAATGTCTACTGTGAAATTGTGGAGTTTAATTATTGTCACTTTTCGGATGTCTATAAATCTTGAGTGTTTTATTTATTTATTTATTTTTATTAAAATTGATTGCTCTCGGTGGAATATTAGATTTTATCATTTTTAACATCTACAGATCAAATTCTTGATTATATCAAGTTTAATCATCGTTATGATTGTTCGCACGTTGATGAACAATTAATATTAGTTACCATTACTTTGCAATAAATAAATACTCCATTCATTATAAATTTTTATTCTTTTATATAAATAAATAAATAACATGATATTTACGTTATCAATCTATGGTCATAAAAAGAGTTGGAATATGATTTTAATTATTAAATACCTCTCCACAAAATTGCGTTCCGTAATGTCGGCATGCTAGAAAATTTACAAAAACATGATGTCATGAGGACATCATCAATTAGGACTGCCTCAATTATTCATCGTCGTAATTTTATTTTTATTTTTATTTTTTTTAACTCATGTTTATTAGATTGGTTCGGGCATCAATCCGATGAACTCATGAGTCACCGAGGTTTTTTTATTCATTGTGGAGGTCAAGAATTCGATTTTAGACTGCACAACTCATTGTTTATTTTAAGAAAAAAATCAATCAACTAGGTCAAGTGATTTGATCAAATTCAGACTGGCTCTTGCTCAGTTCAACTGCATAATCGGCCTGGTCGAATTTTCAAAATATGTTATAAGATAAATTAATTAGAATATAAATGATGGTTTAAGTTCAAATGAATTATGCATGTTGAAAGAAATTTGTGGACGATCTGTTGTCCTCCATTTAGTTGTTATGAGATTATTATTCATTAATTAAAAATGTTCGAAGTTAATAGCTAATTTTGACATACTCTTTCAATATATTTTACACGTAACTATAAATTTGGATTGTAAAGCGTGGAATTTGAGCTGATGATCATGCCCAATTTATGATGTTGATATGTCACGTTCATCATCTTGTTTAATGGATGTTCAAAGATGTACTAGCCCCTGTTTGGTGTAGATTAAAATCAGATTTTTAACAAATTTTGATAGAAGTTGATGAAATATGTAGTTGGAAAGTTGTGAGACCCATAAAATATGTGATTGAAATGAATTATTGACATTAACTTAAATCAAAATTAAAATTTTAACTAGTACCAAACATGAGACTAATAAATTTCTTAATTGTATCTATCAATGTTACCATACCACAACTAGAAACGTCATGTTAAAACCACATTTTTGGCATGTTCGGTAGTGATTATGAGATTATATTTTTTGACCGTTAGATGGAAAAGTGGGTTTTACTTGTGAGTGAAGAAGTCAAAAGTGATTGCTAACTTAGGAAAGTAAAGATCAAAAAATTGATTTTTTGAGGATGAAAAATCATAACCAAATGGGAGTTTTTTGTGTAAAACAAAATGTGTGTATAGAAGCATAGAAGGAAAGATATTCGTATTAAACAAGAAACTAATGATGTCATGAAATAATTATATATTGCCTATCATAATGAGGACACTTGTCATCACTGCAGTCATTATCATATCCATATCAAAATGTGGAAAACCCTTTCAAGCTTTCGAGAGTCATCCACAAGAACATAAATAAGAGGATATAAACGTTTTAAAGCTATTGATATTTCTTGTGTTTAGGCTGCATCATTGATCTTTCCTTTTCACTGCTAAGCACAAACAGTTCGCTTAAAGTAAAATTTTAAATAATTGCCAATTTTATGGTTAGAATTGGGAGAGCATGTTTGAATATGCTTAAGTAAAATAAGTAAGTTCTAAAATAACAAATTTTTTCATAGATGAAAGTTAAAAATAGACATCTGGTAGGTAATAGAACGGTAATGGTACAGTTAACAACTCTCTAACTCAAATCGCATTGAAAATGAGTAATAGAACGAGTCAAGCCCGATTTTCTTCGTGCTAGTCGCTCTCCGACTTGCACGAGTTGAATCATGAGCTAGCTTGTAAACAAGCTCACCGTCTCACCTCACAAGCAATTCAGGAATAGCCATTTTGACTCTTCTACAAATTTGTCATCTTTTCTTTTGCTACAAAAGTAACGAGTGATTGACGACAATTGCATACACGTAGCTGTCATCAAATCACATTTGAATTAGCTAGCTCGTGCTCCAATCTAAAGTAGTTCGACTTGATCTAGTAATATTCTGGGAAAACATTAAATCCTCCCCACCCCATCTTGGTTAAGTTTAGATATAAATTCCCACCTAAGCTCAATGACAATTTTTAAATCCACCCCACCCTATCCTGGTCAAGTTTAGATATAAATTCCCACGGTCCCACCTAAGCTCAATGACAATTTTAATTATATAAAAGTAATTTACTAAACAATATTTGAAGACATAATTTGAGTAATTTTGCTTCTTTAAAGATTAGCCCCCCATAATCCAAGTTAGATACTTATTTGAGAAAGTACTTGAAGGTATAGGCAAATGCCTTGTTTAAAATTCGGGGTGCAATAGACTTGTTGAGATGAGAATTGAAGTGCTTAAACTTAATTTAATTTATTCGAGTTTTATAAGTTGCGGGCTCTCATATGTTGTACAATTCTTACGCTAAACTAAAAAAAGTTTTAGATGGAAAGATTTATAAACAAATTAAGAACAATGGATAAGGAGATAATATTTGTGGGCTATTAAAATGTATGATCGAAACAGAAGTTTTATTACGAATAAATTAACCAAAATTAAAGAATTAAAACATGTTGACTGATAGAATTTTTGAAGCTAGAACAAATTGGATATAGGCAATAGACTTTTAAGATTCTAATTTCAAAGTATGTCTAATAAAATATTTTCTATTAAATAGTATCCCCTCAACTTTTGACTTGAAATAGAAAATTTACTTTGACTTGAAAAATCTTGTGGTTAAAATGGTTAAAAATAAAAAGTTGATCATTTCTCAAATCAGAATTCACCATGTGGCCTATGCAGGCTAAAGACCAAACCCTAAATGACCAAAACCCGCGACGGCCGCCATGCTCACCGCCGCAACGTCGGTGTTTGCCATCCACTAAACGACAATACCCAACGCCGTTGAAGACCCTTCAGTTAATATTCCATACGTGGACGGACTAGATTCTCCCACCTAGCGTGATCCTATTGGCCACCTATCATACCAAAACCCTCCTACTTCATGATTATTTATCCATCGGGCCCCACAACTGTCTATTAAATACCGTCTCCCCCGTCCCCTGTAGTGGGACACTTGGCAACAGCTTAATAGAAACTTGCAGCTGCCAATAACAAGAACAGACAATTTCTATCTGCTTGTATCTCATTTTTTTTCTGTAATTATATGCTATTAATACTTGTTTCAAATTTCTAAATTTGGACAATTAGTCAATTATTAGCTTTTACTAAGTGCATAGAATTTTTGAAATTCTTGAAATTTTTTTTTTTGACTTGGTGGAATCATGCTGTTTTCTTGATCACTTCAATTCAAAATACTTTTCATGTGGACTCATTTGCACTGGCTTTCTAATTTTGATTCTATATTCAATTATCTGATTTGGATTGAGTTATGGTGGGCTTCTTGAAAATCAGGTATGAATTTGTGAGTGGTGTGTAACTTGCTTTAGATATTTGTGCGGAATTTAATTTTGAAATTTTTAGGTGTTAATTTCCGTCTAATTTCATTGCATTATGAATTCGCAGATACATATGCACATTTACATGCATCTATAGGTGTTGGGGTTTATGCACAGAGAAAGATAACGAGAGGTTCAGTGTTAGAAATTAGATTGAGCTGGCTTATTTTGGTCATATGGTAAAACAATTCTCTTTAACAGTGTTGTAAGCTGCCAGTTTGGTTGGAATGGGGAGTAATTTTAACCTCAAGAATTTTGGGAGTGATCAACCAGCAGATGGAGGTGGTGGTGGAAGGCTACCGGGTAATTTTCCTTTGACACGGCAGTCCTCAATTTATTCATTGACTTTTGATGAGTTCCAAAGCACTATGGGGGGAGTTGGAAAAGATTTTGGGTCAATGAACATGGATGAGTTGCTGAAGAACATATGGAGTGCCGAGGAGAATCAGAACACGGGATCCACTAGTGGAGATGGTGGCCAAGAAGGGGGTGGCCATTTGCAGCGGCAGGGATCTTTGACTCTTCCACGGACTCTAAGCCATAAGACAGTTGATGAGGTGTGGAGAGATATGTCGAAGGAGTATGGTGGCGGGAAGAATGAGAATGGTGGTGTTAATAGCTTGAATATGCCTCTAAGGCAACATACTTTAGGGGAGATCACACTCGAAGAATTCTTGCTGAAAGCAGGCGTAGTAAGGGAAGATGCCCAGTTTGCTGGAAAGCCTACCAGTATTGGAGTTTTTGATGGTTTACCTGGCAGTAGGAACAATACTGGCTTGGGATTTCTCTATCAACAGGCTAACAGGAATGCAGGACTGATGGCTACTAGTATTCCTGAAAATAGTAATCATATTGCTATGCAGTCTGCTAATTTACCATTGAATGGGAATGGGTTCAGATCTGCCGCACAACAGATGGAGAGTCAACAGCAATCGTCACAGCAGCAGCTCCTCCCTAATCAGCCTGCCTTGGCCTATGGAGCTCCCATGGGTAGGAATCAGATTGCTATGCAGTCTGCGATACCATTGAATGTGAATGGGGGGAAAGCTGCAGCACAGCAGCTGGATAGTCAACAACGGCCGGTGCCGCAGAAGCAGCAGCACGAGTTTCTTCCAAAGCAGCCTGCGTTGCCTTATGGAGCTCCCATGGGTATTCCGAGTAGTGGACATTTGAGTAGTCCAGCAACTAGGGGTGGGATTGTTGGAATTTCAGATGCAGTGCTGGCTAATAATTTGGTTCCAAGTGCAGGCCTACAGGGTGGAGGGTTGGGGTTGGTTGGTTTAGGAACTGGGGGTGTTTCTGTAGCCACAGGATCTCCAGCTTTTTCATCAGATGGGCTTTCTAAGAGTAATGGAGATACATCTTCCGTATCACCGGTCCCTTATGTGTTTAATGGGGGTTTACGTGGCAGGAAAGGTGCTGCTTTGGAGAAAGTTGTTGAAAGGAGACAGAGGAGAATGATAAAAAACAGAGAGTCAGCCGCAAGATCACGAGCTCGAAAGCAGGTAGATATCTTAATATGGAATACAAACATTAGTTTGATAGTTTTGCGATAAAAGAGATGTCTATAAATATGATGCTTTCTATAGAATTCAAATGTAGTAGCTCGATAATTTTGAGATTAACGTAAGCTGTTCTTTTTGGCTTCTGTATCCTTTGTTTTTAAATGATCACTCGTGGATTACATGTCTAGTTAAACCACCTCATCTAAAAGGTTAAGTTGTTAGAGAGGAGACACAATTATTATATATTTAAAATGTATCTTCAACACGCTCCCACCCCGCGCATTTAAGCCACATTCATTTGTCATCAAAGATATGATACATGCGCAGTTTAAATAAATAGGTAGTGGTAAGACTTGAAACTTGGACCTTTGTTTGCTTATATATTTCTAACAAGGAAGTTAAAAGTCAGTTTTTAATAGTTTTCCATGTTATAAAATCCTGTAATATTCAGATATTTAGACTCCTATGATATAATTTGTCTGATAAGTTTCTCATGAGGCTCTCAATATCGCTGTTGGATGTCCTTATGCAGAAGAACTAGAAAGCTCCCTTAAGTAGAAGATTTAGGAAGCTCTGCCACTTACTCTCCCGTCCATCTCTGCACTCCCTTCCTCTGTAATGTGCTTTTTACCAATAAGGAGACTGAGTTCCCTTATGCTTTTTTGATCCATTAAGTAGACTGCATCTCATTCTTTTCAAGAATCTAGAAAATGCTGCATGTGGTATCATGTCCTATCAACCAGAAGCAACTGCATTGAGGACCTATTTATTTGCAATTTGTTTTAGTAGTTGTTTTTTGACAACTTTATCACCGGTTTATATATCATATTGATTGAGATGCCTTACTCTTTCACAGCTAAGTGTGATTTAACTTTTTCAATTGAATTTGTTTATTTAGCTTATCATCACCATATAGAGGGTTCCTCTTCACACACTAGTATACACAGGAACCTTTGAAAATTCAACTTTCTTTTTGGGGAATGTATCTTGATTGGTTTTGTAGAATGTGATTTTGACACTAGAAGATTCATAGGTTTAATTCACATTTCAGTAACTTTGTTGCATTTATGATGTTATGATGATCTATACACCTACATAGGTAACTATTCAATGTGTTAATTTGACTGCATAAGCTGGTGCCCTGCACAAGAAGTTTAATTTTGCGTAAGTAGACTATCAGACCAGGCAAAAGACTATCATGGTGGCCGTATTTAATTTTCCATAATTAATTAGTATCTATTTTTGCATTGCTCCATTTGGAATTGATACATTAATCAATATAGTCCAAGGAGACTAATAGAAAGCATTGTATAAAGTTGAAGTTCTGGTTTGTTGTGAATATTTCCTAATAAACTGAATTCATATTTGTCTGTTCTACCTCCATGTGGTAGTAATTGTATCAGCACAACTTATTTGGCTGCACATATACGTGGAAACTGTAATTTGATAAACCTTCGACATAAAAAGTGAAAGATTTCTCATCTTTATAGCAGCCATTGTCAAGTATTAAAGGAAAAGTAGTAATTACCCCGTATATTACCTCTAGTCATTTGACAAAGAAAAATTAAAATTGAGATGGGGGATAAATAAATTGAAAGATGCATTATCTGATTGATATAGGTAGAGAATGGTAAGTATTTCTGCAAATCTTAAACTTAAAAAATGATAGATGGATAAGCAGAACAATGATAGCTTTCATCTTCTTGTCAGTTTTTGCATTGTGGTCATTAGCATTCTGCTTTCATTATCATCCCTCAAACATTAGCAAAGACTAGACATTTTATGCAGCAGAATGTAATGTGAGAAAAGATGAAAGGTTATGACAAGTTGCACTTCATGAGAAGTTTAAAGGTCTCATTTGCTACAAGGTAATGTAGTATATGCTTAAATTAACAATCCCAGAGATTTGTATTGAACATGGACTTATCACAGAAATTTAAGAACCTCCATCCTAAAAATCTTAAGTTTCGTTTCGTCCAAGTATGTTTCTGTTTTGATCATGCATCAACTTTCATTGACAATTGCTTTTCCAGGCATACACGATGGAGTTGGAAGCAGAAATTGCAAAACTGAAGGAGGAAAACCAAGGACTGCAGAACAAACAGGTAAATGATCATATACTTCTCTCCATCTTCATTATTCCATTGTAACCTGTAACTTTTAATTGTGACGCCTGTTTTTGAACTTATTTTCTGCAGGCAGAAATAATGGAAATGCAGAAGAATCAGGTATCTCATTTATTTTTCCCTTGTATCTCCTTAAAATTAATTGACATGGTATCTTGTTAAGCATTCTTAGCTTTTTTACTAGCTTGACATCTCTGTTTCTGTTCTCTATTCTGGCTCAATGTTCAATGTGTCACATTCACTTAATCTTCTTCACTATCTTTTATTCTGATGCATGGAGTTTTACGACTTCCTTTTTTGATGACTTCTTGATCTTGAAAATTCATGAATGGGTATGTTCTCTTTACGAGGTTAAACATATGCTCATATTAGGATCTCTCTTCTGCTGTTCATTTGTTTCTCATACAGAGAGAGAGAGAGAGAGAGAGGGATGATAGTAATTGGTGAAAGCTATGACCTCAACTCTGTCTCCACAATTCGTTTGGGTTAACCGTCATGTTGCATTTTAACTCATTATCTGTTGTGTGTTTTTCTCAAATGACGTGTGGAAGCTTTTTTCTTGCCATCTTTGCTGACTTTTCTGTTGTACATTAACTGATGCATTAGTTTCCCAGCAAATAGGAAATTTCATATTTACTAACAATTTTCTATCCATCTTCTCTTCCTTCTGCCTTCAGACTCATAACATTGAGCCTAAGCAGCCCATCAGACACACAACCCTTGCCAACAAATATTTCATTCTTTTGACAAAATGATTTTTCTGCAGCTATCCAGACACCAACGTTCTTGTAGATTTCTGGTACATACATTACATTGTTAATAGCCAGCTCTTTTACTGGAGTCATCGGTATCAATTCACCATTCCCTTAGGTTTGAACCCATCAAGTTCACTTCTGAAATTATAGCTGCAAGCTTATTTCAGACACATTGTGTGCTATGTCGTCTAACAACGTTTGCTTCTTTCTTGTCCAATGACAATATGTACTTCGAAGACTTGTGGGCTACTTGGGCTAATTTGTCACAATTGTACCACATCCGTTGAAATTTCTTTCTAGAAACTCCTCCTTTCGATTCCATATCCCCTTTGCCAGATGGTCCAGACTCATTCTTGTTAGTTTTAGAAGTTTGACCATACTCCAAAACATTAGCTTTAGCCACAGTCGCATTGAACCCTTTCTTCCATAACTTTTGTTGTCTTCTTCCATTCGAAATCTAACAATCAGCATTTTAATGTCATTTTCTTTTGCTTGTACTTTAGGTAATTCTTTGATATCCTTTCGAGCTGGAGGTAGCTTCTGAATAATAGGATCCATTTGAAAAGTTTCACTCAAAACTATTCTCTGAGTGTGAATCTTATGCAAAATCACTTGAAGTTTTTATACTTGACTTATCATAATTTTTTACTCGACCATTTTTTAATCTAGGAAGTAGCCAATTTCATAATCCCAGTATCCTTAGTTTTATATTTATAGTCCAAAGACTCCCCAAATTTCTTAGCCGTCTTCATCGTACTATGCATGTTGTACAATGAATTAACAGAGCTATTCAGGACATAATTTTTGCACACGAAATCATAATGTGTCTTAAGTATCAACCGCAGTGATAGCTTGTATATCATGCTCGCCATCTTTCAATTTAGGAGCACACTTAGTCAGGAAACTTTCGAGATTCAAGGTGGTCAACTAAAGCAGCATCTTCTATTGTCACCTCTTGAAATTCAACCCATTGAATTTCTCTGATTGGAACTATTATAGAATGGTCAATATCGATACAACAACGATGGAATCAGTAGTAAGTTGAGCACCAAGTTTCTGCTCCAATGAACAGAACCTTGTCTAAACACTATTATCAATAACTGGGAATACTCTTTAAGAACCCAAACCGAAAGAAATGACTTCTTTATAAACTCTATTAGGGCGATTTAATTTCCCCATATAACAAGCTCGATATTCATGTCCGCAAGTTGCACTCGCTAATGCTTTCAATGGCCCATTGTGCTAATCGGATCTGTAATTTGCACCCCAACATGGGAGCACAAGAGAGCATCTATTCATACGTGATTACACCTTCAAAACATGTTGCCATATACATATTTAAATTATTGCTTGCCTTATCATATTCCTATCTGGAACAAGCTTTAACTTTCCCTTCCAGCACTTACCAACTTCAATGGGTTTCATCCGAGCATCATTTTGAGCATGTGTATGTATGATTTCGACGTTCTCACGGAGGAGAAACAAATCCATTTTAATCTTCCACAACCAAGAAGTGGGTCCCAAAATTATACTAAAACACAACCATTTTTCCAACTGTATTTCATCTTTTGCATATTACTTGAGCTTGTTATGACAAGGAATAACGACTGCTTCATACTCGGTATTTAATGGAAAGCGGGAGTTGATTGTACCATGTCGCATATTATGCTGCCTGCATAATGCAATGGTGAATCCGCCGAAACGAATTTGGTGGCATGTTGTGTTGGTTGCCCACTGACTGAATATGTGGACGTGGCAGTGAATATATGTCTGTGCGTGATAATTACTAGTACTAGTATTGACTGTACATCCATGTAAGTGTTCCAAATAAGTTACATTTGGTGTCTGCAGGCTCCGGAGAGTTTGAAGCAGCAGGACGGAGCAAAACGACGATGCTTGAGACGCACCCTGACGGGGCCATGGTAAATGTATTTGTAACTGACGTATGTAAATATTTTAAGATACTGCTGTAGATCGTAAAAAATGAGTAGTATTTGCTGTAAACCGTTCGTTGTTTTGTAGATCCTTTTTCACTGTTTTTCCGTGGATTTTGCGCTCGCGTTCGCAATATGTAGGGAGACCGGTAGACCTAAACAACATACTATACTGTGAATTAAAGCTTATTTCATCATACATAGTTGTTTCCAAGGCTTCAAAACAGTTAATTTTTAGTTACATGTTTAGATTCGTCTTCATGTAGTCTGAGTTTGCACCTTGTTCTACTTTGGTTCCCTTAAAACTGTTGGTTTTTAGTTAATACAGATTTTTTGTCATTTTAATATGAAAATCCACCTGTGTCATTTCAGCGTATTTGTAATTTCGACAGAATCATCAGAATATCAATCCTTTGACACTGAGAATAATTGAGATTATCACAGTAAGCTGACCAAGCAGAAAATTGTGCATCCTCAGATCTTTAATGTGGATATCAAAAATGACTTGGTTCACGACGATGAAATATGATTTTAGAATGAGCAATTGAAGTAATACAATATGATTGACAAAACCAAACCAAAAATAGCCAAGTTACGAGAAGAATAATGCGGCTAGAAACAAGTTTTTGAGTTTAGCCACTGAACATGCACGAAACGCTTCTTAAGCAGTATCATGAGACCAAAAGAAGCATGATGCAGAAGTTTTAAGAGTGAATATTCAACCCCCCAATAGTATCCTAGCAAGGATAGCCTGAGGTACACGTGTTGCCTTTCCACGAAAGCATTTTTCTACGATCCCTACCTCTAAAGGATCGAGTGACAAGCGTACCATTTGTGGGCTTGCACAAACCAATATCAATCACTGAAGCGCGATCTTTATTCCCAGAAGATAGATCCCCATCATCCATGTAGAAATCAAACAGCATTGCAAGAGAACGCACTTGATGACCTAGAACCATATTTTCTTCATCAAAAGGTATCATCTTTATGATGTGAACATTGACCTGCAAACAGAGAAAACCAACTTAAAGTATGCAGTAATTCAGGTTAAAATTAGAACTGCAATATCAAAATATAGCAAACAGAATTAAGCTAGCATGCTACTGTTTAAACACTTTGTCACAGCAAAAGATAATTGTACGAATAGCAAATGATATATTCTCTCGACTCAACTCCCCAAATTATGAATGGCAAATACTACGGGTATACTATGGAATAAGGAATCATGGCATAGAAATGCCTCTAATGCTTACATAGTCATTGAACTCTGAAACTCTCACAAAGGATAATTGAATTGACAGTGCTTACCTCTGCCTCCATTGCACGAAGTTCATTATACCGCTCAGCACCATCCGCCTCAGAATAGTTCTCTCCATGTGAAGCATATAGACTCAGTCTAAAATGAGGAGGCCTAAGAGGATACTCCATGCTTATCTTAACCTGACAAAAGGAAATTTTTAAAGCATCAACTCTCAGTCAAAGGATTGTCAGAAAACGTGAATAAAAATTGAAAGTAAAATGCATTTCTACATTGGCTTCTAATTTGATCTTCTTTTCATCATTGTCCAACTTTTTGATTAGTACAAGACCATATTCCTGGAACCCACAGTTTGCCCATGAGTTATCAACGATCTCATGTCCTCCCATTGTGGATGCATTCTCAGATTCCTCCATTTGTACTGGCTCATCCAGTTCATTTTCAGATTCCAGCATGAGATCAACATCATCATCGTGCTTCCTAAAACTTGGTGATTTCCCCTTGCTCACGGGAGAGGCAATACTCTTTGTAATCAAATGCAGCTTTCTGAAGTCCTGAAGCTCAGATCCTTTAGATGGGGTAGATATAATATCATCAACACCACTAGCAACTGGAAGCAAAGATGGAAGCTCCCCATCCTCTGTTGTGTTCTCCACATCTTCTTTTGACATAACAGATTTTCCATCTGCATCGATACCTAGATGGCCCTGAACTTGTTCCGCGTTAGTGAGAAGCAAAGATGAAGATTTATTACTTGCAGCAGAAGTCGTCCGTGACCAACTCTGTAGGCTGCAGTGCGGGGTATGAGTGGCCCATGGAACACTTTCGCAGGGCAAAGTTGGCCAGTTAAGCTTCATTAGTGAATCAAGTTGTTCCCTGTTAGTCAACCAAGATTTCCGAGTTTAAAAAAAAATGTACGCCTAAATGGGTAAGAAAATAATAATAAACTGTCACGAATAATAATCAAACAAGAATGAAGAAAAACACACACAATGGATTCAAATAAAGAAAATATCATGACGGCAATATTCATTAGAAAGTTAAACATAGCAAAATAAAAGTTTCAGAGCAAGAACAAAATCAGCTATTATAGAATTGGAGAAAGGCTTACAGCAGGGGCCTCCAAAACACAAGTAGAACAGATGTCAAAATTGTCAACTCCGTTGTGCTATCAGAAAGAAACTACCCACCTATTTCTAAACTCAACACCATTTTTCGTCTTATAATATTTTATTCTCTTTCAAAAATAGAAGTTATAGAAAACAATATCCTTTCGCTGTCCTCACCTTTTTTTTTTTTAAAAAGAATTCTTTATGAAATGTTATCAAAAGTCAATGAACACATTCATTGAGTATGCCAAAAGAGCTCATCCTGAAAGATGCTCCAACCTGCAAAACTAAGCTGAAGAAGGTGCAATCTTGCTTTGACTACATTGTGCATCTGCCTATAACAAACATTCTTTCTTAAGAATCAATGACAATGATAAACATACAGGGCAGAGACTTACGCAAGAGCCAGCTGAGCCTTTTTTCGAGCACGTATCCTTTGAACAACTGTCTGTACCCGGTTCTGCCGACGATATATTGACAAACCAGACAAGATAGCAGCATGCTTAGCAGCATCATTATTTAAGGTATCAGGGACAGTAAGAAGTGGTGATGCCTCTGGCAAGAAATCAATACCTGCCAAATGCTGGGCCCATTTGTATGGCCGTGAAGTTCTCCTTTCATTAAATGAAAGAGAATCACCAATGCAGAGCTTCGCTGACTGCAAAAAATTGCAGAATTTTTAAATAAATGGGAATGAGAAAGCATTAGATTCATTGCATAACACAATCATGAATTAAAACCTGGTGAGGGAGATCAAATCCAGTGTCGTTGGGAAATAAGTTGCATAAGATATCATTATCAGGACCTTCTTCAAACCCTTCCACTCCTACGCAAACAACATTCAATTTCACTAGGAATTCGAACTTCAAAGTGATGAGTTTTGCGGAGTTAGAATCTGAAGCCTTATCATCATTCATATGGAGGGTAATTTTAAGTGGATGAGTTTGATATATTCCAGACTGATCAAGATTCTCCTTGCTTGGGACTTTCTTTGGCCGTTTTCTCCTTCTTTGGCCATCGTCTTCCTCATCAGGCACATCATCCTCTAACTTGGAATTCTCTAAGCTAGTTGCCATGCCTGAGCCATTACAACATGAAATTTCATAAATAAGATTAAAGTTAACTAGCAGTGAGATTTCACAAGTATCTAGCATCCAAGAATATAGGTACAATCAGTACCAGTATTTTTGTTTGCCAGCTGGCGGGCAAAAGCTTGTGCATCCTTTACACTTCCAATAACCTCCAGATCAACATCCTCTCCAAATGCTTCCTTTTGGGCAAGTAATTGAGAGTAAATGACATATAAAGGAGGTGGAAGCAACTCTGCTAATTGCTGCTGCTTCAATTTCTTTGTGTGGAGAATCCCTAATTGGTGCTGCACCGGCAAGGATGCTTTTTTCAGTGCTTTAAGGTGGGAAGGAAGACTTGATAAGAACTTCTTCCTGTTATTGATGGTCTCTTGAAGAACTTTCTTTTGTTGTTCCAAATTCTCACGAAGTTTGCATAATTCTTCACGCTGATACAACATATATTTCAGTACTTCAAAATTGTGCTTTAATAGTAATCCAACACCCATACACACACTGGTTCTCAAACAGATAGAGGTGTATCCACCTTAGCAATTATACTCATTCATTTAATGGGGCAAGATGAAGTAAACATTGTTTTCAGAACCAAACTTCCTACGACGGAAGAAAGTCAAGGAAAATAATTCATTCATAACATGCAGCAAAACCTCTACTATCAAAAAGCCAAACATAAGATGATTTTTTTATACTAAAAAAGTCCACAAAAAATCAGCACTTTTTTGATGAATATTTCAACTAGATATGCAATTTCAGTGAACAAAATTTAATAACCAACACACTCTAATAGAGCATTATTTCAACCGGTTCTCACAAATCTCTCAAGAGAACCTGGATTACCTGTCGTAGTTCATAGTTGAGCCTTTTAAGCATCAAGTTGTGAGCACTGTCACTTGATATTACAGAGTTTTTAATATCTTCTGGTGCATCTCTGAGGAACTCTTCCTCAGGTACAAGTTCGATGTCAGGATATTTAGTTTTGAAGTCTTTGCAAGCTTTTATTGCTTTGACATAGTGATTTTTCTCATACGTCAAGTTGTGGAGCTGCAAGGTTGTGAAATCCACAGGGGGTTTAGCACGTTCTGTTTCTGCTTTCACACGATCTTCTTCAAGCAAAATGGACCTGTTAGCCTGTTAGAGAACAATATAAGAAACAGCCCACACGGACCACCTAGCAAAGCAGAGGACATGCACCTTATAATTGTGGTCATGTTTTATCTAGCAGAAGCTATTTGTTATATTCATTGTTGCTCTGTACTTAACCACAGACAGCAGGAAGCGTAGAAAATAAAAAAGGTGCTAAAAGTAGACATAATGCGCAAAAAAGAACATCATATCTAAAGCATGAAGGGGGAGTGGAAAGAGGGAATGAAGAAGTGAAACAATGAAGCAAAGATTTATCATGGGTCATGGAAGATAATTGTTCTGGTTCCTATTTACTTGGCAGCAAGACGCTAACTCAAGAAAAAGTTTAGCAACTTAGATGTCATGCATTTTGGATTATGAAAACAAAGGCATCTCTATTTGTAGAAGTTTCTTTGAGACTAACCACAGGTAAACTTATATCTCATATAAAAATATTATCAAATAACTACATAATACATACAAAATGTTTCACACCTGAACTCCCAAATAATAACAATATTAAAACACTGAATAAAGTAGAGGAAAACAACTTTTCAATCAAATTATCAAACCACCAATAAGTATGGTGAAAAATTAAGATTACTAAATGAAGAGAACGATGGCTACTTAAAAAGAATTAAACCCCCATCTGCTTCTCTTTCAATTCAAATAATATTTGTACTCTTGCTCAAAAATGTAATATATGTGTGTATATGTGTGTGTGTGTGTGTGTGTATATATATATATGTATGTATGTATGTATGTATGTGTGTGTGTGTGTGTGTGTGTGTGTGTGTGTGTATATAATCATTAAGGAACTTGTATCTTTATAACAAGCACCCAACGAAAAATAAAAAGAAAAGGAAAAAGCAAAGATGATGGTAATGAATTTGATAGGACAGGTAGGAGATACAAAGTTCAAATCAGAAGTTACAGAGATCCACAATCATGCACACTCCTGTGCATATGCATAAAATATCACGAATTAATTGTACGATTTTTAAACAAAGTAAATCACAGAAATTCCCTTACACTAGTAATTTCTATGTCCCCGTCATTACTAAATGTCCATTGTTGTGCATGGCAAAAATAATTACATTTGGAGAAAGAGTAAGATAAAAATGAAACCCCCGGTTGTACTCACAATTAAAAATTATTTCTTCAAAATTCTCAGAGAAACCCCAAAGTTGGCACTCCTTTTAATCGAAAATCGTATACATTTAGGCCGTGTTTGATATCATGGTTTTTCCATGTTAAATTCCATTTTCTACCAAAATGACATGTTTAATAGCAAATTTTTCCATGGAATTTGTTCTTTCCAAACCCCCCCCCCCCCCCCATCCCCACATGATCCCCATTTACATGGTTTTAAGGAATTGGTTTTCTTTGGGTTTTGGTGGGAAAATGATTTTCCAGCTTTTTTATTTTATTTTCAGCAATGTTAACAAATTCTATCAACAATTGTAAAAAAATTTACCCTGACAATTTTCATTAAAAACAAATTTCATGAAAAACAAAGCCAAACCAACATCAAAAATCCAAAATTTCAACATTATTGAGGTGGAAAATTATAACAATCAAACACACAATTCCCATCAAAACAATTTTTAAACAATTCAATTCCCTTGAATTCGTTTTCTTTCCACCCAAATTCCATTCTTGCAATCAAAGGACCCTTATATTCAATAAGCAACAAAAAAGGAAAAAACAAAAACATAAATAAATCACAACCCTACAAACGGTAAAGAAATCATATATAGGGAAACACCTGCCGGAGGGTAATGAAATTAAGGAGAATTTGAGTGACGAGATCCCGGAGCTGGGTTTTGGACTGGGCTTCTTTCTTGATGGCGAGCATCTTGGCCACGATTTCCTCTACCGAAGACTTACTCTCTCGCAACATGTCGTAGAGCGCCGCCATGTCTATCTTGCGCTCTGGCAGTATTTCGCCGGGTTCTGCCATTGTCACCTCCACTTCAAATGCGAGTTGCGCTCATATGGGATCCTATGAACTTTGCTAGTCTGCTTCCGGTTCTTTAGTTCGTGTTCCGGTCGGCCTATCAGATGAGCTATCTTATTGAACCGACACCCTAGAAAAGAAAATTTTCACCTGGGTCCTCAATCTATTAGATCTGTAGAAGATTGATCCTCGAACTTGAAAACGGAGTATTTAATGTCAGGAAATTGGCGTAAATGATCCCAAATATTTGCTCAAATTACGTTTTGGTCCAAATGTTTAAATTGTGGCTTATATTGTCCCAAACCCTGTTCATTTTTGGCACTTAATGGTAATAAATCTTAAGAGCATTTCCAAAATACTCTTTAAATATGAAATACTCTTTATTTTAAAGAGTCAATCTTTAAAGTTATATTTCAAAATACTCTTTAAATTAATATGAGTGGGTTTGATTCTTCAAATTTAGAGAGTCAAGCTCATTCTTTATAATTAAATCTATTCGAAGTATTTTAATTTTCAATGTAGGAAAGTAATAAAATAATCTAAAAAAAGCTAGTTAATATAAAATATAGAGAAAAATAATAAATATTTTCTTAGAGTAATAAGATTAAGTGTTAATTATAAATAGGTCGGAGTACTTCAAAATTTTAATTTTATAAATTTATAGATACTCTCCAATAATAGAATATGTTCTTTAAAAATATAAAGTTTATTGAAAATGCTTTGAAGGTATTAATTTTGTACTTGCAATGCAACTTCCGACGTGCTTATATTTTATATCCATAATATTGAGAATGCTCATTGAATGAATGATAGCTTAGATCGAATCGATATTGATAAACAAGGTATTAATTTTTCAAATCTAGTCAAATTTACAGGCGCGACAAAGAAAGACAAATCCCCATTTTTAATTGTTTTAACATACAAAGTAGAGAGGAAATTGTCACTTTACCCGAAAATATTTGACACTTAAGATGATTGATCCTCACAAAGTCCACGGTCCCAAATTAATTAATGCTCGACTCGATGGATCATCTCCAATGTCAAACATTATGTTCTATGAAAAATGCTTCTTGGACAGGCTTAATCGACAGACAAGAAATAGGGATTCAAAAAATCTGACATGGCAAGTGAAATTGGAGGGAACTTATGCCGCACGTGAAGGACGCGTGAGAGGTGAACCAACAAAACCTAGCGCACGAAATTAATTGAATTTCAAACCAAAACAACGCTTCCTTCTTGCAATAATTCTGGAGAGGCCTGGTGGTGCAATCCGGCATATTGCAACCTGACAATAATTTCTAGATAGGCTTGGTGGTGCAATTCCGGCGATGCGTGAGAGGTAAACCAAAACCTAGGGCACGACATTAATTTTATGCACCCTTAACACGACGCTTCCTTCTTGCAATAACTCCCGCTGCTGGCATTTTCTGGAAGGGCTTGGTGGTGCAATCCGGCGACAAACCCGTAGCTCAAGCAGGAGTTGTGCAAGAACTCCTCGTTCTCGAAGATTTGACGCCAACGAACGGTTCATTCATGTGGTTGTGAAGACCAAAAATCCACAATTCCATAAAACAAACCCGAAGCACGTTCCTCTTTCTGTTAAAGATCCTGCCTGAGCTCTGGCATTGCAAGTAAGTTTTGTCGTTTAATTTTCCCTTTGAATAGGAAAACCATTCTACCCTGCTTTGAATGCAATATTGTGGGATAAACTTTGTTAAACATATAATAGAGAAGTTGGAAAAATTGATTTTGTGTACGACATTATTGTCCAAAAATCCCTGTGTGCCTAGCGAGATTTCAGAAAACCTTCAAAAATATGCTTCGACCACCGAAATTAGTTGGGTTGCTAAATATGGGTTTAAATGGATCAGACTTGGACCGCCCATTTTTGTTCTCATCATATTTGAATATTTTGGTTTTGGGTTGGGATATCATATAATGATGGTGATAAAAGAAAGAAGTAATCAGATGCTTCCTTCTTGAATTCCTAGCAGGAATGATTATTGTAGTATTAATCTAATGAATATTTATGAAATACGGCTTATATTATACTTGCATCTAAATACACAATTGCTACTACTATTTGACACGGTTTTCCAATACCTTTATAAAACCTCAACGCTAACTGATTTCTATGGTGCTATATTGTAATTGCAATAAAAAATTTGATATTCTGTTTATTATAATAGTTGTATTTCAACTATTTTTTTTCCTTGTCAACTTTTTATTAATGAACACTTATTCTGCTCTATGATACATTTTTTTTATTAAATACTCTATTAGCATAATTTGAGATGATGATGATAAAAGAAAGAAGTAATCAGATAAGATTCACACATGGAGACATAAATATAAATTGGCAAACTTTGATTACGATCCGGAAATATTTCTCCCATATAGTATACAGTAGGTACATATTTAAGTTAGTGAAGTTGGCACTTCATAAGATTAGGCTTTCGCTCCTGCTTTTCGCAGATATATATTAAAGTTAGTGGAGTTGCCACTTCTAAGTGTAGGCTGCAAGCTCCTGGTGTTCATATTGAATGTAGTTTGTTTTACCCATGATTCCTACTAATTGTCATTCATTTTCGTATTGTGGATTTAAGCCCAATGTACCTCGTTTTATGTGACTTTTTGTTTACTTGTGTAACAGCTACTATGGACGAAGTGCAGATCGACCATGATGATGTGTTGGCTGAATCCGATTATGAGAATGCTACGGTCTCCGTTAACGTTGTGGATGGTGAAAACTCGGTGGGGGATAGTGTGATTGTGCCTGAGGTAGGCATGGAGTTTAAGGATTTAAAAGACATATTTGACTTCTACAAGAAATACGCTTATGCAATTGGATTTCCGATTAAGAAAAGGAATTTGAAAAAGGGGGATGACGGAGAGTTGAGATATGTAACATTCACATGTAGCCGTGAAGGTCAAAGAATCGGTAATAGTAGCGGTTCCTTCAAGCTCCAACCAACAATACAAATGGGTTGTAAAGCCAGGATATCCGCATCATCAGATGTTCATGGGGTATGGAGAATTAACAAAGTCCACCTCGACCACAATCACGAAACTAGTCCATCGAAATCTAGGTTATATCGATGTAACCGAGAATTGAGTTCACACGTGAAACATAAGCTTGAAGTCAATGATTTAGCTGGAATTCCGTTGCATAAAAGTTTCAATTCTACCGTTGTCGAAGCAGGTGGTTATGATAACTTGAGTTGTATTGAGAAAGATTGTCGAAACTATGTTGAAAAAGTTAAGCGATTAAGACTTGGTGAAGGGAATGCCATTGCAATACAAGCATATTTTGCAAAGATGCAAACACAGTGCTCGAGATTTTACTTTAGCATGGATTTAGATGATGAATCCCGACTACAAAATGTCTTCTGGGCCGATAATCGGTGCAGGCAAGCGTATAAGAAATTCGGTGATGTTGTTACTTTTGATACCACATACCTGACAAACAAGTATAACATGCCATTCGCCCCGTTCGTTGGCATCAATCATTATGGACAGTCAACATTACTTGGTTGTGGGTTGTTGTCGAGCGAAGATATAGATAATTTTGTCTGGTTGTTCAGAACATGGCTATAATGTATGCATGGTCAGGCACCTCATGGAATAATTACCGACCAAGATCGGGCCATGCAAAATGTCATTCGAATCGTTTTTCCAAACACAAGGCATAGATGGTGTCTATGGCATATTTTAAAGAAGTTGCCTGAAAAATTTGGGTATCATGATGGCAAGTCTTCGATATTTGGTGCTATACATGTATTAGTTTATGATTGTCAATTTGTTGAAGAATTTGAGAATGGATGGGCTGCGATGATTAACAAGTACAACTTGAAGATAATGAATGCTTATCTAGGTTGTATGAGAACAGAAGCCGTTGGGTTCCATATTTTTTGAAGACCACTTTTTGGGCAGGGATGTCGACGACACAGAGGAGCAAGAGTATGAATGCGTTCTTTGATAGTTACGTGCATTCGAAGACCACGCTGAAGCAATTTGTAGAACAGTACGAACGAGCACTACGATGTAAGGTAGAGAAAGAGTTCCAAGCTAATTTCAAATCTTTTTCGCAAATGGTCCCATGTGCAACGCAATACGAAAGTGAACTACAATTTCAGTCAGTTTATACCATTGCAAGATTCAGGGAAGCTCAGGATGAGTTCACGGGAAAGGTTTGCTGTGATGTCATATCTACTTTGGAGGGAGATACGTTGACGACGTATGAGGTGCGCAAGGATGTTATGCATGAGGGGCGACGAAGGAAAAAAATTCTTCGTCTCATTTGAGAGAGAGAACTGTGACATCGTTTGTAGTTGCCATTTGTTCGAGTTTAGGGAAATTCTTTGTCGCCTTTCAATTGCAGTTCTTATTCGTTGCGATGTCACGTACCTTCCGGAGAGGTACATACTGCGGAGATGGAGAAAAGACGTTAGTCGAGCACACACCAGAGTCGCCGTGAATTATGATGGTTTGATCAGCTCTCCTGGGCAATTGAGATAACTATGTCATGAGTTTGCAAAACTGGTTGACCTTGCTATAGACGACGAAGGGCGATCGCGTGTGATACTAGATTGGATAAAACTTCAGTGCAAAGATCTTTCGATGTTGAAAACATCACACAGTGGAAGCAATGTGATCGCACATCATACTATTCAAGTAGCCGATCAGTGTACGACTCTCAGAACGATGCCAGGTGAGCATAAGAGATCCAAAATTGTCACGTAGAAAGGGAGCGCCCAACAAATTGAGGAAAAAAGGTCCGCTAGAGTCGAGTTCGGAGAACACAAAGGTAAATTTGATTTAATTTATTAAAAAAACACAGATCCAAATATTTGATTGTAATGAATACTTTCACACTGCATAAATTTACAGACAGCATCAAGCAAAGGAAGGAGACCTACTGGACGACATAGTGGTACGCAAGAGAGCGCTATCCACGTTCATGAAGCTCAACAGCAAAACAACTCAATGTAGCCTCCGCCTCCTTGCCTACAATATTCGATGCCATCAACATTTCCCGTCTCACAGTATACTTTTGCTACACCATTCTCGCATTCAGGGCTATTACCGATGTCAAATTACATCGCACCATCGTCATAAAATATTATGCATAATTCGCAAGGTAAGCTCGCACCATTAATTGGTTAAAGATAAATTCTCGAAGTCATTTTAAATATGCAACTAACATCTATATTCTATTGTAGGTCAACCAATGCCATACTATCATCCATATTTATCAGACCATGGAGGCTCAGGTTTGTGTAATAAATTCTAGTTATTGAAGAAATGGGATGAGATATCTTGATACCTAAGTGATTATATTGGGTTGTGCCTTTTGCTATATATTCACTGGTCATTTGATATTTCTGCTCTTTCTAATACTTTTAACTACGAAATCCTCGAATGCAAATGCATGGTTGAGATATGATATGATTTACATAAGATCATTGGATCGATTAGTTGGATAAACAAGGGTATTACAAACTCTATATTTTTGTTGACAGATTTCAAGAGCAGCAGCTTTCAACTCATAATCTTTAGGATTATTCAATTTCGTACTTTTCATCATTTCATAATTATGTGCTTCAACTAAGGTCTTAATTGCATGGAGTAGCATTTATTATTTTAGTGTTTCTTAAAAACTATTATGTCGCCATTAATGAAAGCAATGTAAAATGAAGAAAATGCACTATTCTGCACGTTCCCTGCAATATGGGCGTGGTCTGACCACTGTTGTCTCCTGGCATAATTATAATGAGAAGTGCATGCATTAACAATCATAATTCTCTTCATGATAAGCTAAAGAAAATGCAATTATCAAAAGAAATGTTTCAGTCGAGATTGTTTGACATATTTTTTTCATATACATCAAAATGCACGTTGTAGGAAAAATATAGCGTGCATACAGATACTAAGATACTTTTCTTCTTTAATCCTGTTATGTTGAAATTGCAGGCACTCTATAAAGAAGTAATGCCTGGTTTTGATGTCTTGGGAAAAAAAATCCTTATTTCTCAACAACGTTTGGAAATGGAGTAAAAATGAAACTTTTGGAAATGGGCAGGTAATGATGCATTCATTATTACAGCACCTTCATTTGCCACAAATTGTATATCCAGTGTAAACATAAAAAAATTTTCCCCTACACATGATGCCTTCATTTCCAAAAAATCATAAGATGCTTTTGTTTCTTTTTTAGCATAGGTTGGTGGCCTTTTTGTTAATTTAAGCTAATTCCCAGCTTCTTTATCTGATCTGCAAAATATATATAGCTGTTTTTGCATCATTTACTGAATATTGCTTGAGGCTTTCTTCTAATACATAGTTTGCTAATAGGTTGCTATTGTCGAAGACATGAGGGAATCAATGCTTGAAGATATTTACATGACTTGAGACTTACTAGGCAGGCTACAACAATTTATAAGACCTGGGAATTCATATTTGGCAAAAGCGTACCCCCAGATCAGTTGCTCGGGCATTCATACAATTGTTAAATGCTGTACATTATGTGGATGGATTTTGAATGGTCTTAAGGAGTTCACTATTGCCGTTATGGTCTCATTAGGCATGTTCAACTAAGAAATGTAATTAAGTTCTGTCATTTTTAATATGGTTGAAAGCTTATTTGATCAACCAACAAATGTTTTAAGTTCTATCACTCTTAATATGGTATAAAGCTTATTTGTTCAATTAATTGTTTTTAGTGTATCTTACAATGTTCAATTAATTGTCTTCAACATCAATGGTACAAAGCTTATTTCAGTTTTCTTGCCCTTTTCTGTGCTGTAGTTAGGAGCAACATTTAAATGTGTAGCAGCTATATAATTTCAGTCATAAAGAGAACACTGATCCAAATACAGTGGTGGCACTACTTCAATTCAAAATATTACACATTCTTAATCCATCTTAGTCGGTACATAATACTTAAACAACAGTAATTGGAATTACTACATGAAGAAAATGAGAGCTAAAACGAGATAGTGCTACACATACAAAAGTTATGTCAAAAGCCAAAAGCAAATTTTTAGCTAATAATCAAGTCGATCGCTTCCCTTTTTCATTCGCTTCCGCACTAGAATTCGCCTTGCATATTCGCACATTCACCGAAATATGTAGGTCTTCATCATTGTTTAGGTGAACTCAAGATTCAAACATTTTGGACATTTCTTCATCATTTTCGTTCATCGCAAGGTTAACTAATGAAGAATTGTCGCTAGACGATTCACCAAGTGATTTTTCTTTCACAACCCATTCTCAAAATCCGCATTTCTCACTGCAACAGAGAAATAATCTCCCTTATTTGCTGTCTGCTTCTCCACCATGAAACACTTCTCAAATCCATTCTTGCATTCCCGGCATCTGCACTTCCTTGGGCATTCATCAAAGAAATGGCCCTTAGCTCTACAACTATGACATATTCCTCTATTCTTTCCGCCCATTCTGCCATACAAATAAACCACAGTTAACAGAAATAAATTCACGGTTACTATAACCATTACAGAAACCACTTCAATGTTGAAGAACATTGATTATTTCATCTCAAATTTCACAGTGATCGTGCAATAACCAGGCTGTGATTGGTGACAATTGCTAACAAGAAGTTGGAATGCAACATACAGAGTTTTCTTCATCAGTAATGTACCATGTTAGACCCCCCTTCAATTTAGCAGCACTACACTATGAAAAACCATGGAGGTGAACACTAGAAAATAACAACACAAACAGCAGCTTCATAGTGACACAGGAAAAAGTGATAACGATGCATAATGACAATTGCTAACAACAAGTTGGAATGCAACATACAGAGTTTTCTTCATCAGTACTTTACCATGTTCAACCCCCCTTCAATTTCGCAGCACTATATTATGAACAACCATGGAGGTGAACACTAGAAAATAACAACACAAACAGCAGCTTCATGGTGACACAGGAAAATAGTGATAACGATGCATAATGACATTGCACAACGGGATTAAAAAGAATAAAAATTTCATACAAACACACCAACAGTTCATCAACAATAAAATATGTGCAAAATCGGGAGATGAAGATTGCAATATCCCGAAGTTCAACTACGCAATGCCATATGACAAACAAAAGCGTCGTCGGTCGACAACGGTGAATCCAGAGCTGGTGGAAATGGATGGAAACGACAACAAACCCGTAGCTGAAAATGAAAAGGCGATGGCCAAACCCTAGGATCGAAATGCAGTCGGAGCGCCGACTGTGAGGTCATCCGAAGTGTGGCCGGAGATGGTGAAGTTCGGGTTCCAACTTTGGGAATTTGAGTTGGGGGCTTGGGGTTCGTTTTGGGGGAAAATGGCTATCGGGATTGCAGTCAACTCTTTCTTTGGACAGGCTTTTTTTATTTTTTTTAAAACCAATGCCACGTCAGTCGGGATCTTAACCCTGTCAACAATTCCTATTTGCCTAGCGGGATTGTATGTTCTATAGCGTGGTTCAGTAAAAATCCCACAATTTTCCTTGCCATCATGATTAAGACCCCTTCTGGTCTGCGTTTACACTCTCAAACTCCAAACATGAAAAGAACACCATAATTGTACTTATCATTACACAGATAAAGGTGGCTTTCTGCTTCCTTCGCCTCTCTCTTGAAAATGCCAGAACTGGGCTTTCGAGATTTGAGTTCGGGCTTCAGGACCCGAAATATCAGCCTGGATTTCATAATTTTCACATGTGAATCAAATTCAGCATCTTCTCCCCTGCCTCTGTTAGCATGGAATACTGCTCTTTTTTCCCTGATGTACATTATCAAGATTCTCTTGCTTCTGAAGTTTCTCAAGTAATACTATTTACTTCCTCTCATTTCTTGTTTTATTCTAAATTTTCTGCAAATGCATTTTCTGGGTATACAGTGTGAGTTTTGGTCTATATTCTAATGGGTTGGACTTTAGCATTGAATTGATTCTGATGATGTAGTGAAATACAGTTGTTTAAAACTTGAAAAATTTCTAGTTCGATGGAGTTGAAAAGTTTAAATCTTTGATTTGAAACAGCATTTGGCAGGGCATAACATTTTTGAGTCATCTAGTGGTCCAGATCCAGATCCATACATATTAACACTAGTGCCAAAAAATAATGTTAACCTCAGCAGAATGCAAAAAGGCTAAAGGTACTGTTCACTGAATGTTAAAGATTTAGACTCTAGATCGGTCGGCTATTGTCCTTATTATTTCAGATTTTGATTCACGTGACTTATTACAGTTTTCCCTCAAATTTGATTTATACACAATTCACAAGTTAGATAGCAGTGAAGCTATGGCGACTGATGATGACAATCTAGCCTTAGATTCTGCAAGAAATGTTGGAAATTGGTTGAGGACCAATTTGTATATGAGTAAGAAATTTGGTCCTATTTGAAGGAAATTAAAATTTGGGGTGTGTCCCATCACCTACCACCCTTCAACTTCTAAATATATGACTATTTGGACTTTTATTTTCATTCCATATAAATTATTCTTTCATGTCATGTTGCATAAAACACTTTATAAAAGTGATTCCATTTTACATCAAAATCATGGTCACGATAGAGAGGAAATTCCATTCGAGTTCGTTGGTCTAAGTCATTTGGAGTGCTCCTATGACTTGACGTGGTCGTTGTATCTTGGGAGATGATTTCCGAAAAATCGTTAGCACCGATGTGAGACAAATTCATCTTAAAGACAAAGTGTCCAACACTTGTCTCGACCTAAAATTCATCACTTGCATTCTTTTGTTTCATTTTCTGATTTCTTTTATTATACTTTGATTTTAGAAACTGATTAACATTATCTACATGTTTATGTTGCAAGGTTCGATCCAAAGAATGATTTTCTTTCGTTCAAGAATCGAAAGGAATGAATTCATACCGATACGTTCGGATTCGATAAATTCTTATTTTGTCTTCTCAAATCCAATCTCGGTAAGTCGAAATTACGTTTCGATTTCACGCAAATAAACGACATGATTTTTGTGAATATAATATGCACAATTATTGGTGTAATTTCTTCAACAATCTTAAGATGAATTTTTGGTGCTTGTTGTGAAATTTATATTCTATGAAAAATCTGCCCTTTATATCAAAATCGAATTTGTACATAATAAATTCTGCAAAATATTTAACGTGAAAAGATGTGAATGAATGATTCTAATCATTTTCTTATAACCGCCTATGCCAACCACTGATTCACTGGTGTTGGTGACTGTTTGGTAATTAATGGCATATGAATATGTAATACATGGAAAGAATAATATAATACTCTCCAAATTAAATTTGTCAAAATGCAGAAAAATTTGAGAATCAAGATAGTGCATAGCTTTGATTTTATCTTACCTCCTGTGGATATTTTCTATGTATGTATGGTTGCACTAAAGGCTGTCGAATCAATTTTAATAATAGTTGGAAACACATGGCTAATCATTTGCTCTAATGATTGGAAATTGCTATTTACCTTGGAAATTAAAGTATTATAATTGTTAATGCATAACTGGAAGTATTAGTTGGTTTTCGACAAGAGTATACAGCAGTTTTTGTAATTAATGGCTTTTCATTCAAATTGTTGAATCTTGGTTTCTTACTTACGGTTTTCGAAATGGTGCAATTCCATTATATTATCTATTTGGTATGGATCCAGAAAGGCCAAAAATATCTGCTATTCGCCGAAATGAATGTGTCAATTGCATATTTATTTACTAACATTATGAATCTGTGACATTAAAATATCGTGCATGTATATCGGTGCTTACATGATGAAATGATGAATTTGTGCATATTAGAATTTTGTACATTCTGGAACACTCATGTAATTAATTGCTAACTGTTATAATGCTTGTGCAAAATAAAAGGCATGTGGATTTAGTGGTAGATAAGGTTACTGTAATTTTGGATAGTCTAATGGTGGCCAAGAACATATGTGTAGAATTTTAAAGGCAGTTTATTTATGAAATCGTGTGACCCTTTAGGAATTCTTGCGGTTACGCTTTATATGGATTTAATGGTGATAATTATTGTTTAAATGAAAGAGCGTGTTTGTTTATTTTAAGATTTCGTAACTGCCATGGAATTTCCTTATTGTCTTTATGTTCATAACCCGATAAATTGGAAATGAATATCTATAAATTAATTTGGAAGTGTTATGGACTTCAAATTATTGCATGTGAAATAAAAGCTCATTAAATACATGTTTAATGCAATTCATGATTGTGATTGTGATTCATGTAATTGGTAATTTCCTTTCGAATTATGGAATACATTTTAATGTCTCATTATATATTTTGTAACTACCATGGGACAAAATCTTTGGATGGACATGACTTTTCAATGGAAAGGTACATGTTCAATAATTAAACTAGTGGACCATCACGTGTAAGAAAGGAAAATAAGTGTTTCCCTTTTGGAGAACATTTGAAAATATTGTTCATATGTAGAGTCATGGTTTGGTGCCCACCCATGTTGTTGGAAGCGGGCTCTAATATTGGTAAATACATACAAAGGTTCGGATTTCGGAGACTTTTTGGTCAGTATATGCAAAGTATATATACAGTATACTGCAAATATGATAAGCAGCAAATACAATAGACTGCAAATACGGTAAATAAGGAATACAATAAGTTGCATATACAGTAAGCAACAAATACGGTAATCAGAAAATACCGTAAGATGCAAATACGATAAGTGCATATATGGTAAGTGACATATACGACATGTG